CCCCCGCTCCAACCCCCGCGTCTCCCCCCACTCCACTCCACTCCCGTGTTTCCCATCGGGATCGCCCCGGGCGGCCGGGTGAGACACGAGGGAGGGTGATGCCGCGCGGCCGTGCCGGGGCGCTCGCCCGCTTCTTGCAGAGATTCGCGGTTCGACACGAGAAGGCCGCCCTCATTAATACTGCGGTGCCTGTGTGTAAGCCGTGAAGCAATGTATACGACGCATGCCGTCTGCTTCACTCGCGGAGGACGTCAAAGATCCCGCGACGTCATTGGCGAGAAGGGGAGGCCATCGTGTGCCGGTGGACCGATACTAATTTTTACCAAATTTGAAAAAAATTACCCCACCAATTCACTGTAATTGGGATCACACACACAGCAGCAATCATAGCCCCCCTACCACTGCGAAACATTGCCAGGACCCTCCTAAATAAGAGTATTGGGACTCATTGAGTCTTTCCTGGCTAAACAAGTCGAGTAGGAGTGTCGTGGGTTCCACGGAGGCACACACTTGGAGGCAACACGTTTACCCCCACACCCCAACAGGGTAACTACGTAAACGTACAACAAGTTAACTAAACCACAACGGGGTAACTACATAACCGGGTCAGTCAGTAACACACTGCCTGACCCACGATGCCGAGGATCAAAGAGACGTAGCACCGACGGGTTCCATTCCAACAGACAGCCTCGATCGGCTCTCGGGACCTCCCTTTTATGCCCGTGAGCGTGGCCTGGCTCCGCCCTCGGCCACGCCCCTTCTCGATCCTCACTGCAGATTCTGGGCCATACATCACGTGTCCCCTCATTATCCTGTCCTGGTCACGTGCCCTCTCGGCTTCACCCGGACTGTCACGTCCTCAACTGCCCTCTCTCTCTCTTTGTCACCAGAACCATGTCCCCCTAGGGCCCCCTTCCATGCCAGACGTCCTCTGGTGCCAGAGAGAGGCTCGAATACGCACAGTTGCACCCTTATCTCAGTCGCTGGCGCTAAACGCCGTAGTGACCCAATATACGTCACTACAGCAGTAATAAGAACAAGAGAGGAGTCATATCATATGTATGCTGTATGCTTATATATGTCCAGCCGACAGTCGAACTGTGGTCACATTAACTTGCAGTGTGCGCACTTATTATCTACACAAAGCTCCCCCATGTAGCCTTGCCAGGCGGTTGGGGCAAGTGCTGTTAGCGAGCACATGTGAAGGCCAATGCGGCACCCGAGGGAGTGGTTTGGATAGCAGCACGCCCTGCCGCTTTTGTCTCCCCATTAACGATGTTTAAGGCTGAGTCGACCTAGCAGAGGCCAGGCTGGACCGGTTCAGAAATCCGTCACCTTATGTCGGCCGCGAGCGGGCATCGGCTCGCCGGCTTCTGAGCGCGGTGCAGTCGCTAACCGCTGCGCCACCGCTCCCCGCGGGCACAGCCGCGCGCGCGCTCGCCTCGCGGTCGGCGCTGGGGAGGGACGAGGGAGGGGGGAGCGAAGCGGCGCGGGGGAGGGGGCTAAAGAGGGGACGGGGGGGGGCAGCGATGTTGGGATGAGGGGGTGTGGGGGGGGGAGATGGGGAGCCGACGGGACGGGAGAGCGGCAGCCACGCGGACTGGCGGAGTCGGGGCGGCAGAAGGAAACGGGGAGGGGAGGGAGAGGGGAGGAACCGAGGGGCGGGGGGATGAAGATGGGGTGCGGAGCGGAGATCCCTCCAGTGACATCACTGGGTGAGCGTAACACTCCCTCCCTCCACCACTCCTCTCCCTCCCACCCTATTCCTCCACCCCTCTCATCATCCACCCCCACTCCCCTCCCTCCCCTCCCTCCCCCCATGTTACCCCCTCCACCCCTCCCTCAATCCTCCTCCCTCCGCTCTAACGCCCTCACCCCCTCCCCTCCCTCCCCTCTCGCTACCCCCCCGCATCCCCGTCCCCCCAATCCTCCCGGCCAAGCAACGCGCGCTCCGCGCTCACGGGCACCGGGCGCAGAAGACAGCGAGAGACACGGGGAGAGACAGAGACACGGGGAGAGAGAGAGACACGGGAGAGAGAGAGAGACACGGGGAGAGAGACAGAGACACGGGGAGAGAGAGAGACACGGGAGAGAGAGAGACACGGGGAGAGAGACAGAGACACGGGGAGAGAGAGAGACACGGGGAGACAGAGACACGGGGAGAGAGACACGGGGAGAGAGACAGAGACACGGGGAGAGAGACAGAGACACGGGGAGAGAAGCGCGGAGCGAGAGGAAAGTACGCAAGGGAACACCCTCACTCACTCTCACGCACTCTCACACACTCACACACACACTTACTCACACACACGCACACACTCACTCACACACTCACTCACACACGCACTTACTCACACACACTCACGCACACACACTCACGCACACTCACGCACACACACACACTCACACACACTCACACATACTCACTCACATACACTTACTCACACACACTCTGACACACTCACTCACACACTCACTCACACACGCACTTACTCACACGCACACACACACACACTCACGCACACACTCACGCACACTCACGCACACACACACACTCACGCACACACACACTCACGCACACACACTCACACACACTCACGCACACACACACACACTCACGCACACACACACACTCACGCACACACACACACTCACGCAGTGGGCTCGGAGAGACGGAGACGAGGATTGCAGAGAGACGGGCACGGGGAGTCCGTGCGCGGGGCTCTTTCAGCGAGAGGGGCAGAGCGGACACGGAGAGAGGTGGACACGGAGAGAGGTGGACACGGAGAGAGGCGGACACGGAGAGAGGCGGACACGGAGAGAGGCGCGCGGAGCGGCGGGGTGGAGCCTCGGGGGGGAGACGCGGACGAGGCGCGGAGACGACGCGGGGGAGTCACGGGGAGAGTTGCTCCGCCGGGAGGAGGAGGAGGAGGGGGGGGCGTACCGGTCACGGGGCGCGTGGGGGCCCGACCCGCCCGGGCTCCCACTGAGCCGGGGCCCTGCTGAGCGTGGAACCGCCATTCACTGATCCGGGACCTACCGGCTGTGACCCCGCTGAGCCGGACACCCGCTGAGCCGGACCCCGCTGAGCCGGACCCCGCTGAGCCGGACCCCGCTGAGCTGGGACTTGCGGGCTCCGTGGGGACACGCCAAGTGGAACGGACTCCGCGATGGAACCCCGTGCGTGACGGCTCAGTAGAGCTCTGCCTACCCACTCACCTACCGCCTGCCCACTCATCTACCGCCTACCTACTCACCTGCCTGCTGATCCACTCACCTACGTGCCTACCCACTCATTTTCTAGCCTACCCACCCATCTACCGCCTACCCACCCACCTACCTACCCACCCACCTCCCTACGCAATTTACCTACTGACCTGCCTGTCACCACCTTGCCTCGTCCTACCCGTCGCCTTTTTCTCGACCTACTTAAGCATCCCTGTTGCCTACCCTGAACCTACCCGCCCATCCATTCACGGCAGCACCGATGGTCCAAGGAATCTTGTAGGCTCGCCCGCCGATCCTCCTATCGCCGACCCTATCACGCGCCCATATGTCCTATCGCCTTGCCTACCACTCCCCTATAAACTACACATCACATCGCCTTGCCTACCACTCCCGTATAAACTACACACCACATCGCCTGCCTACCACTCCCGTATAAACTACACATCACATCGCCTGCCTACCACTCCCGTATAAACTACACATCACATCGCCTGCCTACCACTCCCGTATAAACTACACATCACATCGCCTGCCTACCACTCCCGTATAAACTACACATCACATCGCCTGCCTACCACTCCCCTATAAACTACACATCACATCGCTGCCTCCCACTCCCGTATAAACTACACATCACATCTGCTGCCTACCACTCCCTGTATAAACTACACATCACATCGCCTGCCTACCACTCCCGTATAAACTACACATCACATCGCCTGCCTACCACTCCCCTATAAACTACACATCACATCGCCTTGCCTCCCACTCCCGTATAAACTACACATCACATCTGCTGCCTACCACTCCTGTATAAACTACACATCACATCGCCTGCCTACCACTCCCGTATAAACTACACATCACATCGCCTGCCTACCACTCCTGTATAAACTACACATCACATCGCCTGCCTACCACTCCCGTATAAACTACACATCACATCCCCTGCCTACCACTCCCGTATAGACGACACATCACATCGCCTGCCTACCACTCCCGTATAGACGACACATCACATCGCCTGCCTCCCGGGATGCCTCCACACCCACCCGAGTGAGACACTTCGCGTTGCCCGCTCGCCACTCTCGCTCGTCCCGCGGCTGAGATGCGTGCCTCGTCCACACGCCTCGCCAGCCCACACACCACGCACCGGCACAGCAGCCCACCCACCACGCACCGGCACAGCAGCTCGCACAGCACGCACCGGCACAGCAGCCCACCACCCTCAGTCCCATCCCTTTGCCGTTGTACTCACCCTCTTCCGTGTGAGCCCGTGTCTGAGCCGGGCGACCTACCACCGCCCACGCTACCACGCGACTAAATAGGCAGACACATCGCGACCCAGCGCCGTCTCAGTACATACCCACGCGTGCGCCTACCTCCCTGTCCGCGTGTTTGAATACATCCCAGGGCTGTATACGACCCATCTCTAGAGGTACCTCACCATCCGCATACATCCCTGCTAACCCCCCATGTGATTTCCCACGTACTCACCTTTGCGTATCCGACTACCTACTCACCCAACCCATCCACATCCCTACTCACCAACCCATCCACATCCCTACTCACCAACCCATCCACATCCCTACTCACCAACCCATCAACCTACTTACTCACCCACCCACCTACTCCCCCACCCACCTACTCCCCCACCCACCTACTCCCTCACCCACCTACTCCCCCACCCACCTACTCACTCACCCACCTACTCACCCACCCACCTACTCACTCACCCACCCACCTACTCCCCCACCCACCTACTCACCCACCCACCTACTCCCCCACGCACTCGACTCCCTGCTGCTCCCCACGCACCCTGCCCACCATGGAGGGTCGCCCCGCCACGCTGCCCATCATCGTCCTGGAGCCGGCCGCGGCAGTGGGAGGCTCCGACCCCGCCGCCGCCGCCAAGGCGCCCAAGCACCTGTGGCGGCAGGCGGCGCGCGTGCCCATGCGCGTCACCCGGCGCGGCAACTCGGACACGGGGCCCGAACGGGGCCCGCGCCGCGTGCCCATGGAGCGCGGCCTCGCCGTGGAGGGCCTCCCGGGCAGCGGCGGCGGCGGGGGGCCCGCGCGCCCGGGACTCGCCGGGGCGCGCAAGTCGTGGCCCTCGTCTCTGCAGTGCCCCCCGCTCACCAGGTGAGGCGGAGTCCGCCGGCCTGAACACCACCGTCCGAGAGCCCCTCCAGCACCGTAGAGTTCACGCACTGCCGTGGAGTTCACGCACCGCCGTGGAATTCACGCACTTCCGTAGAGTTCACGCACTGCCGTGGAGTTCACGCACTGTCGTGGAGTTCACGCACTGCCGTGGAGTTCACGCACTTCCGTAGAGTTCACGCACTGCCGTAGAGTTCACGCACTGTCGTGGAGTTCACGCACTACCGTAGAGTTCACGCACTGCCGTGGAGTTCACGCACTGTCGTGGAGTTCACGCACTGCCGTGGAGTTCACGCACTACCGTGGAATTCACGCACTGTCGTGGAGTTCACGCACTGTCGTGGAGTTCACGCACTGTCGTGGAGTTCACGCACTGCCGTGGAATTCACGCACTGTCGTGGAGTTCACGCACTGCCGTGGAGTTCACGCACTACCGTGGAGTTCACGCACCGCCGTGGAGTTCACGCACTTCCGTGGAGTTCACGCACTGCCGTGGGGTTCACGCACTGCCGTGGGGTTCACGCACTGTCGTGGAGTTCACGCACTGCCGTGGAGTTCACGCACTGTCGTGGAGTTCACGCACTGTCGTGGAGTTCACGCACTGTCGTGGAGTTCACGCACTGTCGTAGAGTTCACACACTGCCGTGGAGTTCACGCACTGTCGTGGAGTTCACGCACTGCCGTGGAGTTCACGCACTGCCGTGCAGTTCACGCACTGTCGTGGAGTTCACGCACTGCCGTGGAGTTCACGCACTGCCGTGGAGTTCACGCACTGCCGTGGAGTTCACGCACTGCCGTGGAGTTCACGCACTGCCGTGGAGTTCACGCACTGCCGTGGAGTTCACGCACTGTCGTGGAGTTCACGCACTGCCGTGGAGTTCACGCACTGCCGTGGAGTTCATGCACTGCCGTGGAGTTCACGCACTGCCGTGGAGTTCACGCACTGTCGTGGGGTTCACGCACTGCCGTGGAGTTCACGCACTGTCGTGGAGTTCACGCACTGTCGTGGAGTTCACGCACTGTCGTGGAGATCACGCACTGTCGTGGAGTTCACGCACTGTCGTAGAGTTCACGCACTGCCGTGGAGTTCACGCACTGCCGTGGAGTTCACGCACTGCCGTGGAGTTCACGCACTGTCGTGGAGTTCACGCACTGCCGTGGAGTTCACGCACTGCCGTGGAGTTCACGCACTGCCGTGGGGTTCACGCACTGCCGTGGGGTTCACGCACTGCCGTGGAGTTCACGCACTGCCGTGGAGTTCACGCACTGTCGTGGAGTTCACGCACTGCCGTGGGGTTCACGCACTGCCGTGGAGTTCACGCACTGTCGTGGAGTTCACGCACTGCCGTGGGGTTCACGCACTGCCGTGGAGTTCACGCACTGCCGTGGAGTTCACGCACTGCCGTGGAGTTCACGCACTGCCGTGGAGGTCACGCACTGTCGTGGAGTTCACGCACTGTCGTAGAGTTCACGCACTGTCGTAGAGTTCACGCACTGTCGTAGAGTTCACGCACTGTCGTGGAGTTCACGCACTGCCGTGGGGTTCACACACTGTCGTGGAGTTCACGCACTACCGTGGAGTTCACGCACTACCGTAGAGTTCACGCACTGTCGTGGGGTTCACGCACTGTCGTGGAGTTCACACACTGCCGTGGGGTTCACACACTGTCGTGGAGTTCACGCACTACCGTGGAGTTCACGCACTACCGTAGAGTTCACACACTGTCGTGGAGTTCACACACTGTCGTGAAGTTCACGCACTGCCGTGGAGTTCACGCACTACCGTAGAGTTCACGCACTACCGTGGAGTTCACGCACTACCGTAGAGTTCACGCACTACCGTAGAGTTCACGCACTACCGTGGAGTTCACGCACTGCCGTGGAGTTCACGCACTACCATAAAGTTCACGCACTACCGTAGAGTTCACGCACTACCGTGGAGTTCACGCACTGCCGTGGAGTTCACGCACTGTCGTAGAGTTCACGCACTGCCGTGGAATTCACGCACTGTTGTAGAGTTCACGCACTACCGTAGAGTTCACGCACTGCCGTGGAGTTCATGCACTGTCGTGGAGTTCACGCACTACCGTGGAGTTCACGCACTACCGTAGAGTTCACGCACTGTCGTAGAGTTCACGCACTACCGTGGAGTTCACGCACTACCGTAGAGTTCACGCACTGCCGTGGAGTTCACGCACTGCCGTGGAGTTCACGCACTGTCGTGGAGTTCACGCACTACCGTGGAGTTCACGCACTGCCGTAGAGTTCACGCACTACCGTGGAGTTCACGCACTGTCGTAGAGTTCACGCACTACCGTAGAGTTCACGCACTACCGTAGAGTTCACGCACTGCCGTGGAGTTCACGCACTGTCGTGGAGTTCACGCACTACCGTGGAGTTCACGCACTACCGTAGAGTTCACGCACTGTCGTGGAGTTCACGCACTGCCGTGGAGTTCACGCTCTGTCGTGGAGTTCACGCACTACCGTAGAGTTCACGCACTGTCGTAGAGTTCACGCACTGTCGTAGAGTTCACGCACTACCGTAGAGTTCACGCACTACCGTAGAGTTCACGCACTACCGTAGAGTTCACGCACTGCCGTGGAGTTCACGCACTGCCGTGGAGTTCACGCACTACCGTGGAGTTCACGCACTGCCGTGGAGTTCACGCACTACCGTAGAGTTCACGCACTGCCGTGGAGTTCACGCACTGCCGTAGAGTTCACGCACTACCGTGGAGTTCACGCACTACCGTAGAGTTCACGCACTGTCGTGGAGTTCACGCACTGCCGTGGAGTTCACGCTCTGTCGTGGAGTTCACGCACTACCGTAGAGTTCACGCACTGTCGTAGAGTTCACGCACTGTCGTAGAGTTCACGCACTACCGTAGAGTTCACGCACTACCGTAGAGTTCACGCACTACCGTAGAGTTCACGCACTGCCGTGGAGTTCACGCACTGCCGTGGAGTTCACGCACTACCGTGGAGTTCACGCACTGCCGTGGAGTTCACGCACTACCGTAGAGTTCACGCACTACCGTAGAGTTCACGCACTGCCGTAGAGTTCACGCACTGTCGTAGAGTTCACGCACTGTCGTGGAGTTCACGCACTGTCGTGGAGTTCACGCACTGCCGTGGAGTTCACGCACTACCGTAGAGTTCACGCACTGTCGTGGAGTTCACGCACTGTCGTGGAGTTCACGCACTGCCGTGGAGTTCACGCACTACCGTAGAGTTCACGCACTACCGTAGAATTCACGCACTGTCGTAGAGTTCACGCACTGCCGTGGAGTTCACGCACTGTCGTAGAGTTCACGCACTGCCGTGGAGTTCACGCACTACCGTAGAGTTCACGCACTACCGTAGAGTTCACGCACTACCGTAGAGTTCACGCACTGCCGTGGAGTTCACGCACTGTCGTGGAGTTCACGCACTGTCGTGGAGTTCACGCACTGTCGTGGAGTTCACGCACTGTCGTGGAGTTCACGCACTGTCGTGGAGTTCACGCACTGTCGTGGAGTTCACGCACTGTCGTGGAGTTCACGCACTGTCGTGGAGTTCACGCACTGCCGTGGAGTTCACGCACTGTCGTAGAGTTCACGCACTGCCGTGGAGTTCACGCACTACCGTGGAGTTCACGCACTACCGTAGAGTTCACGCACTACCGTAGAGTTCACGCACTGCCGTGGAGTTCACGCACTGTCGTGGAGTTCACGCACTGTCGTGGAGTTCACGCACTGTCGTGGAGTTCACGCACTGTCGTGGAGTTCACGCACTGTCGTGGAGTTCACGCACTGTCGTGGAGTTCACGCACTGCCGTGGAGTTCACGCACTGTCGTGGAGTTCACGCACTGTCGTAGAGTTCACGCACTGCCGTGGAGTTCATCACATAGTGTACTCAATATTGTGTGGTCTGCACGACACCGTCGAGTCTCTGTGCCCTTGTACGCATCGCGACACCCCTCCTATGGGCACGTGTGAATGTGGTCGACTCCGCTGGACTCCGGGAACTCCGCGGCGGCTCAGCTCGAGGCTGGAGCGGCGGCTCCCGTCTCGGGTGTCTGGGGGCCGCGGGGCGAGGGTGATGATGTTAGAGCAGTCGCTCCCCTAGCCACCGTGCTGGTGGCCACCAGCATGGTCAACGCCAGCAACGTCGTGTCACGTGCCAGAGGTGTTTGTCCGTCGTTTCGCCTTGAACTCGAGAGCCAAGAGCGGCATTGTAATTGGGCGCCACGGTGGCTAGGAGATGTTAACTCCCTCGCCTGGTATGCAAGAGGTCGTGGATTCAATCCCGACCCTGACGCCTGCTGTATATTTGGAGTTTGCGTGTCTCTCTCTCATCATCATCACGGTGACTAGGCAATGTTAACTACCTCGCCTGGTATGCAAGAGGTCGTGGGTTAGATCCCGACCCTGACGCCTGCTGCTGTATATTTGGAGTTTGCGTGTCTCTCTCTCTCATCATCATCACGGTGGCTAGGAGATGTTAACTACCTCGCCTGGTATGCAGGAGGTCGTGGGTTAGATCCCGACCCTGACGCCTGCTGCTGTATATTTGGAGTTTGCGTGTCTCTCCCTCTCATCGTCATCACGGTGGCTAGGAGATGTTAACTACCTCGCCTGGTATGCAGGAGGTCGTGGGTTAGATCCCGACCCTGACGCCTGCTGCTGTATATTTGGAGTTTGCGTGTCTCTCTCTCTCATCATCATCACGGTGGCTGGAGATGTTAACTACCTCGCCTGGTATGCCGGAGGTCGTGGGTTCGATCCCGACTCTGACGCCTGCTTGTCTCTCTCCCCGTCGTCACGTGGATTTTTCTCCGCGTCCTCGAGGCTTTCCCTCCACGTTTAGAATCACGCGTTTAGATGATGTGGCTTCTATAACTGTCCACGTGATGAGACGCCAATTTGCTGAGCTCTCATTTGTGGCCAGGTCGCTTTGGAAGAAAGAGCAACGTAGTTAGGTGGGGCCTTACGTGGTGA